TGCAAATATTCTGCAAGGGGAGTAAAACACAGGTGGCCAGAAAATGTGGTTTATTACTTACTGGAATCGGGTGGAAATAAATGCATCAGCTCTTTTACAAGCTCGCAGAAGCAAAGATCTTTGTGCAGTTGTCAGATGAAGCCCCACCAGTAAATGTTACAGCAGAACATGCTACCTCAGGCGGTGACACCAGAAAACATGTTAAGATCCAGCAAGAAGTGCGGAAAATTACAGGTGGCAACAGAAGTGACAAACAGTAAAAATGTGCAGCAGTGGTCCAGCGTATGCGAAAATACTAATGTTCTTAGCAACATGGTGGATAAACATTGAAGAAAAACAACGAGAAAGATATTAGCGATAAATAATGCGTGAAATTACTTTTTAATTTCAAACAGTGTTGTATCATTTATTGAAAAATAAATACACGAGCACTGCAATTCTGTTATGAAGCAATTTTATTACTGAATTTTAAAAAATATTTTACTATCATTAGATGTTTTGATGACCTTGTATAGGACAAAGAGTTGGAGGATGGATGAATGGATTGATGGATATTGAATTTTTTATCAAAATTAGACATATGTTTAAATTGATAATTGACTTCTATGAAATAGATATTGGGTGAAACGTTAGTGTTCTCTTAGTGCCTTTTATTTGATGACTGGAGATTTTATGGCAATTCAAATGGGAATCTTTTGTTACGATGAATGTCTCATTCAGCAGACTTGTTGATAAGAAGTGGGTACATCTGTTTGCCCAATCCTAGGGCAATATGTTCCAAATGGCTAATGATCAGACTTTTATCAAATCTGAGCACTGCCTTTTTTCTGTTGTTAGTCTTTCAATCTAGCTTTTCTGTTTTTCAATAAATATTTGGAGATACTGTGACCTCATGACATTTACTGAGGTCTGTTGTGACGTCACAACATTCTTGCCAATTAGCTGAAATGTTTCCCAGTCTTCAGAGGATGAACAGTTCACTGAAATATTGGCTGGGGTTACTCTCCTCTGACATCTTCAAAGATATTGTTGATATAGAGGTTATTCTAGAATTGTCCTGGGCCATTTCTTATATAGATCTCTTAGAAGTATTTGTAATCCCCACATAGTGTGTGCTTTTATTTTATAATCCGAGTTCTGAAGTGTGTTTTATCCCTGGGGATAAAAGGAATTATGTGCTGGGTGACTTGCTGGAGTTGGGGGTATGAATCTCACCTCTGCCCTATGTGGTGTTTGCATGTTCTCCCTGTGTCTCATGGGTTTGCTCTCTCAGTCCAAAGATCTGCAGTTAGGCAAATTTGTGTCAATAAATTGCCCAAAGGATATGACTCTGTGTGTGTGTGTGTGTGTGTGTGTGTGTATTGCCTTGCAATGGGCTGGAATCCCAGCCTTGATGAGAATGTACCCCAAACTTGTGTCCTGTGCATCCTGGGATAGGCTCCAGTGGCCCCAGTAACCTTGACCAGAACAATCGGTTAGAAGATGGATGGAATTATGCACTGTCAGTTAAATATGATTGCAGGGAATGTGTTCTTAATGTCAGATAAAATTCAGTTACAAATAAAAGCAGTTTTATTGATAAAGAAACAGGCACAACAGTAGCATGTTTGGACCATACTGCAATGTACAAAGGTAGGTGACATTAACATTGTTACAATGCTGAGATTTTTTTTATTATTATTGTTTTAACTCTTTTATCCACATAGCATACCTTTAAATGTTAACTCAGTAATGTTGAATTATTTTTCCACAACACAGTCTTTGGTTTTCCTACATTAAATAATTTCAGTGTTTGGGATGCTGCAGGAAAACTCTATATTTTTTGAGGACATCGTTCTTTCTATATATGCCTTAGAAGTTGCACGCGATTGTCTTTATGTTAGTCAGGAGTATCTCTTTCTTACTGAGGCAGGCAAGACTGTTTGTGGACACACTGTTCAGTAGCAGACAATCAAGGTAAATGCAAGGCCATGAAGAAATAAATCCCTGACTGATGTATGCGGGGGAGTCAACGTCCAAATTTACACACAGCATACACACAGGAGTTGTATGAAAGCTTTTCTTTTCTTACGATTTTTGTTTTTAATATGAGGCCATAGAATTGGGTATAATTTCATAGCCGTGAATTACAAATTTCAACGAACAGCCTCCAACTCATTTAATATATGCTTTTACACATTGACTTCAAGTAGTAAAACTACATAATCCCTTAAATATGGCATTTATGGTCACGTGACGACTGATCAATCCTTATGTACCATGGAGATCTACGGTAACGCTTTACATTAACTGCATCTTCATAATGCTTTTATATTGCATTCATAAAACGTTCAGTACACCTTCATAATGTATTCATTAAGTATTCATAAACATCATGTATGTGTACCTTAACATCATAACATCCCTTAATAGCTGTAATATACATAAATAAGAAACATTGTATAATAATAACAAGCATTATAATTGTATAATCATGTAATGTTTGTTGTTAATGTATATTAAAGCTGTTAAGGGCTGTTAGGATGTTAAGGTGTACTTGCATGCTGCTTATCAATGTTCTATGAATGCATTATGAATGCATTATGAAGGTGCACTGAATGTTGTATGAATGCATAATGAATGCATTATGAAGGTGCAGTTAATGTAAAGCGTTACCAGATCTACACTTATTCATATGGATGATCTAATTAAATAAATGTTTTTAAGAACACACACATTCATTGAATCTCAATGCCATGAAACTATTGTTTTTTTGGCAGTTGCCCTCACTCCCTGTAGTGAGAGTCTGCTTACTTTGTCATTGGTTGAAGAGCCAGACTTGAGAGCTTTGATCCACCTCCGGCATTTGTATTTTCATAGGTTTTGGTCTTATATTACATGGAGTAGGGCAGTGCAGATTGGAGAAGGATATTTCATCCATAAAGGCATTTGCTGCTAGGGAGACCTTAAAAATCATTGCACTCTACAGTAAGATAATCACCATCCAGGTAGGATGTCTTCTGCAGGATACTTGCTTACTGGCAGTTTTTGGACTACAAACAATTTCGGGGGACTGATTAGGTGGGGATGTGAGGTCTGCTACTTTTGGCTGCTAGAAGAGGCTACACAAACCAGGCATTTATAGTTTTAGCAATATTAAGATCTCATATTCAATAGAAACTGCAAAAAGGAGAACAACAAAAAGAAGAGGTTTCGGAAACATATGAAGTATGTGTAGGAACTGTATAAGTCATATTGTTCCCTCATAATTAATAATAATAAAAAAATGTCTCATACTGTAGGTCTAATGCTTTCTGCAGTTGCCATGACATTTCTGATGGAGACCCTGAAGCTTGACCTAATAAATACAAAACAAAACCCACACAACATTGCATCCAGCTCCTTCCTGACAAATATGGCAAGTTCCACTTAGTTCAATTAATTGTGGCTTAAAATATAAACATTAGGGATGGAGATATTTTTTGATTAACTCAGACTGTAAACCTTTCCTCGTGATCCTTCTCCTTATCCTGTTCAAGTGCATATAAAAAATATATTTATTTTTCCTAAATTGTCTACATTTGTTCATTTCATACTGTATAAATGATCATTTGGCCATAATAGAACATATTTGCATGTCCTCGTTTAATCATTCCACAAAATTAGCTGAATCACTCCAACGAATTATTTTTACACCATCTCTGGTTTGATTTTATCAGGATTCTGTTCTATCAGTCCAATCAGTCTCATTGCGCTGAGTCAGCATGATTGATTAGCTTGAACATAATGACACTTTGACTGGAATCTGTCATGTTCTGGAGGTGCTTTTTAAATTCCAACTCTACAATACAAAAAAGACATTCAGAATCATTGAAAACAATGTCTTCCAGTTGTGAATTGACATATGGCTTTTATATGGCATTATTATAAAAACCGTTGAAGGTAGAGTAAAGCCAAATTTAATTAATTTTCAAATTTGATAGCACTTTTTTATGCTGCACTCTCTTTTGTATCCTTTGTGTTATACTTTAGTACAAATAAAAATCCAAGTGGTAGAAATAAGTCATGGCTGTATGTGACATTTTTTAAAGTGAAATGAGTCCGTCAGAGTTACATATAAACGCTGCCTAAGCGTCGAGCAACAAGTAGCTCCATATCAATGAGAAAAAAATTCTATTAAGCAGAACATCGATTTTTTTTTCTGAAGTAGACATCTACCATTTTCATAGTTATATGAAGAAGTTACAAATGTGTGATTTGAGGTGGAGGTACAAAACATTCATGAATATGATTTTCTAGGAGAATACCAAATGAAAGGTATTACATGTCAAAAAAGAGAATAACAACATGCACTGGGAGCATGTTTCCAAAAAGCATAGTTGCTAACAACGTTAGCACCTTACATCGTTGGAACTGTAACTATGCAAGTTGCAAATTGGGAACTGTACCCCAGGACAACAGGTGAGCTGGTAGATAAGGCCACAGATTTGTAACCTGAAAGCTACCGGTTCGTATCCCAATAGACATCTGCTCTTGTATCCATGAGCTAGGTAAGTTGCACCAGTAAAAGATGCAGCTTTGTTAATGGATACAAGTTCAAGACGGTTTAGATACAGTGATTAAGCATAAGTAATACCTTGCACATAAATACATTTTTAGTGCAGCGCTCTGAATGACATCACTTGCTGTAATACCATAATTTCATACAAGACGAAATAAGGAAGCCCTGCTTTGGATTGAGAAACAGCAAGTCCATGTAAATACATTAAAAAAAAAAGTATGATGAGGAAGAAAGCCTGAAGCCTGCTGCTAAATGTCCGTGTTAATGTTTCCTTTCTTTTCTTTATGTTACATAATGGTGTAATTCCTGAACACCATAAAAACATGATAAGGAGCAGCCAAGAAGCTGTTTTGTTTGTTTTTTGCTTCCTTTCCTTTTCTGACATTGAAACTCATTAATATGCTTTTCAAGACTTCTGGCCCGTTACCATGCTAATGAGAAAGCTAGTACAAGCAAAGGGCATGGTTCAAACAGTATATATTTTAATCATTCTAGCATATATGTCAGATTACTAATAGGTTAATTTCAGCATTGTTATGTGTTATTCATGAACCAGGATTATATATACCAGACTTAAAATGTTAGATACACGAACACCTAGATTGTGCCCACAACTTTTTATATTCCACTGACGCAACTGCTTTGAATTTACTTGACACTGAATTGTCTCAACTGTATAATGTGATGGAGTTGCTGTGAGCATTCATTATTGTCTAAAAAAAAGTCCACTTTCTCAGATGACAGGTTTCTCCACTGCATTTTTTTTTCTCAGTTTTGGAATGTTACTAGAAGTCAGTTTAACTGGGAGAACTGGATTTAAGAGGATACAAATGCCTTTCCAAAACATATCAATTTTTTTTTACTGTTTTTCCTGTGGCTCTCTTACTCTCTGAAATGTCACATGAAGTAACAACACACTGGAGAGAGAATAAATGAAAAATAATATAAATAAAAGAATAAGGCCACGCAATAGATTGCACACTATAATATACACCAGTTATTAACTGTCTAAGCCAATAAAGCTTAGTTTACTCAGCACTGTTCCTTTAAGAATGCCCAGAGTCTGTATAGGCAAACAACAATTACACAGAGGACAGCCTAACACTACAGTTATGACACTGGACACTGTTTCCTCAGACCAGCTGCTGAACCTCGTTTCTGCTGTTTGTCCTCCTCCATCTTCCTCACCACTTGTTCTTTTCATTTTTTTTAGTACATATGAAATTACATTAGTACATCTGAAGGAAAAACACTTTATCTATACTCACAGACAAATTATACACATTAAGAGCGGGAGGCTGCCCTCCCCCGATTTCCAAGAACTTATTTCCAGTGAAAACTATGTTTACACCTTTTGAGCATTTTTTCTTTTCATTTTTTTTTTTTCCTTTTTGAGATTTCATCGACAAAATACAGAATAGCATAAAAGATCTGCAGGCATTTGCCTACAAAACAAAATATGTTGTTTTAACAGAATGGGTTTACATTTTAACCAAGAAGGTAATAGCCAGTGTCCTGAAGAAAAATATATAAAAAGAAATTCTCTAGATGTAAAACAAGTCTATGAGTATGAAGGAACCACTATGAGCGAGAAGGAAAGAGGATAGGAGTTGGGCATGGACAGTTTGGAGACATAAAGCCACTTTCTGCAAAGCAAAAGGTATATTCCCTTTGCTCAAGGCTTATAGCCATCGCACCTAAGGGAAATTCACTTGCTACTTCCCTATCTGGAGTTAATAACTGTTCTAGCAAACAGCCGTTCTCAGGCAGGCGGCCTGATGCAGTACTTTTCCAGTAATTACTCCTTTGTGACTTTGGAACCTAGAGTAATGACAACTTGCAGCCATCTTTCTCGCTGCTATGCCAAGGCGCCGACATAGTAGAATTTCACGCATTCCTTGAGTTGCAGTTGTCATTGTCAGACGAAAGAAATACTGCAGAAACAGAGAGTATGGATTCCATAGGTCATAAGTCTGTTGCGGTATGTTTGTGCACTTCTCCTTGGCTTCAGTGAGGGGACAACAGCACGTTTTATAGAGCTAGTCTGACCAGGACGTAGGGAAGGCAGACCACTGCTGCCCAGGGATTGAGTCTGGCACCAAAAGACCTCACTTCCTCCTGAAGATCTTTCCTTGTGGTTCTCTCCATTAATGTTTGCTGTAAAAAAGATGAAAAGATCAGTCAACCACACTCTGATGCTTATGTTGGACGCATGCTTCTATATCATTCTGTGAAGAGCAAGATGATATTTTGTTTTTATGTCAGGCAAATCAATATTGTAACAGAGTGAACAGCTGGTTTATATGACATGTTTGTAAGTTAATAATATCAGGCTGTGCAGCAGCATTACAGAACTTGAGAGATACTTTCATTAGAGATGGTGGAAGTGTATCTAATCCAGGTATATCCTCTGTTGCCTCAAGGACAGTATTCAAAACTGACTTGTGTAATATGAATACTAATTAAAGTGTACATTCGAACACAATGTTATTGTAAGGTTTTTTATTAATAATAAATGTATTTATTTACCTCAGCCTTGCACATATAGTCATTAGACAGGTTACACTTAGGTCCATTTTCCTTTAAAAAAAAAAGAAAGAAAAAAGTTACTTTCGTATGAGGTTTCATGCTTCCCTTTGCTAATATGATGTTTGTGAAAAGTAAGATGGTTCTCTTATTCACTCAGCACTGAAAACGAGCTTCTGAAAGGTCTGGGTAAATCAGGGCTGCCACCAAGCATTTTTCACTGATAAAAATAGATTATACATTTAGCTACACAGGAAAAACATACTCATCAACTGAAACAATATAATTGTATCTGTCTGTCTGTCACAGATCCACAGTGGCACAAGATATTTGTCTAGCCTTCTCAGTCTTGTGTGGAAAGGAGGTGTCCTGTCTGTCTTTGTTAGTGATTTAGAGACACTAGCTCTTATCATTATTAATGTACGCTGCCAGTTAAGTTTTTGTACACTCTTATATCAAGGCCACAGACAAAAGAAAATTACAGAATAATAGTTTAATATTCAACAAAGGACAAACACTACCTACGCAATAAAAAAATCAAAGCAATTGCTGTACAAACCTTAGGCATTCTATTAATTAAAGACTCTAATTAAAGACTAAAGGAATTATTCTGCATTCACTCCAGAACTGCTAAAGAAATTACCACAATGGATCAGCACTGTGGCACTCTTCTATGTATTTCATTCCAAAATAATGCAAAAATTGAATCAAAAAAATGTTAAAATATATGGTGTCATGAAACTTTTGACTGGGATTTTATATGGGATTGATAAGAAAATAAATAGAATTTTTAAGTGCTTGTATATGCTGTGATGTGAATTAAATATTTCGCATGCAAATGTTAGAGTACTGCCTAAGAGTACTACCTAAATACTGTTTCATTACAGGAAAATCACCTTTACTGCTACAGAAATACCTGGCCAAAACAAGGTTATTGTTTATTTATGATCTGAAAATTACGTCTCAGCATTGCAGCTTACAGGAAGACTGTAATGAGCTAGACATGGTTTGCTTGTAACTGTGATACTTCCATTACTACTTTGAAAATAAATGATGAAGTAAGTTTTAATAAGCTCTACTACCTTAGGTGTTACTAATGTTGGCCAAGCAGAGTGAAATGCACCATCTCATAAATAATCATCAAATTCTAAGTGAGCCCATTTACAAATTCATGCTTAAGAGTAAATTGCACTGCAGCATTTCCTAGTATTGGCCAGGGTAGAGAAATGTGACATTCTGATTCCTTTCTGAGCTTGGTGAGCTCTTGCCATATTCCCCAGCGAAAACAGAAACACAATATATTTGAATATTGCCACAACACAGCTAAAAATTTGCAAAAATATTCTATGTATCAACTGCAGAAGCATTTGCTTAATGTGATTTTGCTCATTATTTGTCCCCAGATGTACCCTTTTCCACAACAACATGGAGACACAAGTGTAGTAGTATAGACAATTCCCAAAAAATCACTTAGCTAATGTTGTGGTAAATATTCAATAACAGCTAAAGGCCATGGGTGAGTTTCCCGAAGAATTCTTAACGGTACGCCATTCTATGTTGAAAGGCAGAACTTACGAACTACGTAGCATTAAGAAGGCTTCTGGAAGATCACCCCATTTCTTGTAAGAAGACTTCACATAATTAATTTCCACCTTCTCCAAATGTAAATCAGTGTTAATATATTTATATATTTTTGATTTGTGAGTTAAATAGATTTATTTTTCAAGACTTGCTATACTAAACCAGTAAATTCCTTCAAAAATCCTTCAAGGTCCCATATTGGGAAGGGAAGTTCTTAGTTTAATTAATCTGTAGTTATAAGGATTTTCACAAATCACATTTTTCTGTTCATCCATCTTATAGCCATGTGTAATGGTTAGGGTGATGCTAAGGCCTAGAGCCTATCCTATGCAGCACTGGGCAAGAAGGCTGAATTAAAATCATAGATAGGATGCCATCATGAGGTGGAATAACACAATCATACACAATGAGCAAATTAGAAATGCCTGTTAGCCTACTGCATGTCTTTGCATGTGCATTTACATTATGTGTCATTCATTTATTTGTTTGTTTGTTTGTTTGTTTGTTATTGTATTCGTGACTCCAAAAACTTATTTGAGAATACCATGTATGATCTATTGAGAGGAAGGAAAAACTGAAAAACAAAGTAATTCAAAAGTTTACTCATTTCCGTGATATTCAACAAAAAACTAATTGGATCGAGATTTTCTTGGTAAATTCTTAATTCCTTTAGGAAAATTCAGCAAGCAGCCCATTTTATTTCTTCAAAGGCATGGGGATAAAAAAATAAATAAATAAAAGTCCCTTTGGAACTAATCCATGCAAGTAACAATGTGACAAGAAATGCTTTGCAAACTTAAGGACTGCAACTCTTTAATTAAGATTCTCAGTGCTCAGTGAAGAAAAAAAGTAGTTAAATTTGGAAATTCACAGACTAATAAAATAAAAGGTATGTCCTCATTAACTAAGATTACATTTAGATTACATTTTTTAAAGTATACTGTTTTGCCATAACCTCACTGAAATAAATACATCTGAGAAGATTCTTAGTAAACATTTTGTATTTTAATTGTCAGGCCGAGAAATTAATATGGTTTTATGTAGTCTTATGTTATTCTGAAATTACATTAACTATGAATAAAAGTATCTTAATTATAGAAATGATTTTCTAATAACATTTAGATTAAATGTAATATTTAAATTGAACACATATCGCCTTGTATCTGTGTAATGTTATTGTAACAATGTGTCCTTATATATAATGCATAACAGACAATTACTGTTTACTTTTCTCAAGATACCTCTAGCAATTCCTGCCATTTCTCATCAAGTCTCACTAAGACTTTCCTAAGACTTTTTTTAACAACTTTTTTATTTGCACAAAATCAGTTTTTTAATTAGTTTTGCATAAAACCACCAAGACACATACTTATTTACAATACACAACTTCATAATTTATTAATTGTACCTTGAAATGAATCAGAGTACCGGCATATCATATCTAATGTAGGCAAATAATTTTATGTTTAGCAGATATGGTCTGATAATTTATTGCACTCGAGGTATTTTGCAGAAATGAAGCTGCTCCCAACCACTTTTGTGAAAAAATAAATGGAAAGGCTGCAAACATGTTAGCTACTAAAAACTCATTAATTATCAGGAGCAGTGAGGTGTGGCAGATGTCTGTTGACGTAGCTCCAGATCCCTGCAAGAACAGTCCATCTCTCTGTCTCGTCTGCCTTTGCCCAGAAACAGAACACTAATCCATCACAGGCCTTGTCACTATGCTCAGTGCACTGCCCATACACATACATAAGGGACGACAGCAGGGCAGACAGCGTATAGAGGCTGCCTGAAATCTCAAGTCATCTAGCTACAGCTGGACTCGCAGTCTGAGTGTCAGAAATAAGCAGAAATGGGACAAAATGGTTCTACAGATGCTATTTTTTGCAGAATATAACAAAGAATGACAATGCACATGAACCAATTATTTGTTTCAAACAAGGAGGGTCTTGTGTTAAACAGTATATTCCACATGGAATTAAAGGCATATATGTCATTTAAAAATTTTTCTTCCAAAGTCTTCTCTCGATAGTATTTTTCTCCTTTTCTTGATGATTTTGGCCTGCCAAAATGTAGATACCATTATGGTATTATCTATCACATGTACACACACAAATACACTATTCTATATGTGCAAAACACAGCACATAATGTTTTGTTAGTCATATCAGCTTCAAACGTGTTTACTGACAAACTCAACCATGACTGCAGTTGCTCCTACGCATATTTATTTGCTGATTTTAATGTATGTGAGTTACTTGGCTGCATGGAAATTCAGGTATCTGGGCTGAAACAAATGAATAAAGGAGAGCTCAACTTACACAATTTTACACAATTAAAATTTTTTTTAAATGATATGCTCCATATTAGCCAGGATTAAGCACAGTACTCATGTGGATTGAGGCCTGTTTTTTACATAGTCAAATATGATTCCTATACTAAAGAAAGGGACACTCAAGTTATAAACTACAAGTTTCATTTTTTTATTTAACTTGCATATTTTATAAATGAACAAAATGACCCCTTAATTTTGTTTATAAAATATGTAGGTACATAAAAAATGCTTGCACTGGCTGCAAAAAGGAGGGAAAGTCAGGTGATTGACACTTAACTTAGTCACACGCACACACACCCACACACGCACAAACACACAAACACACAGACACACATATTAAGTTTGTTGTATTTTTATGATCAATCTAATTACTTAATATTTGTGTTTAGACATGGATCTTGTTGGCTCCATACCTGCCTGTTCCTCATCTATTTCTTTAAGGAAGGAAAAGAAAAAAAAACGATCTAATGAGCCTTTAAATCTCTGCCAAGTGTGTATGTTATGTGATTCAGTCCCATGATGCTCTCCAATGCTTATCAGTTGTCTGCATGCTGCTGCAGTACACTTTATTTTTTCACTCTCTTAAGAAATTTTTTTCAAAAATTGGGAAAGCAATTGGTATGACCCTCAACCTCCAGGTTTGGCTCAGTGTTCAGTCATACATCCATCAGCATCTTGGTGTTATTTTAATTTGTAAGTTTGGCAACATGAAACATTCAAGAGCTTCCCTGAATAAAAAAAAGTCAAAATAAATCTAATTTCCCTCAAAGTTATGGAACTTGTTTAAATTAAAATTGAAATCCATCAGAAAAATGCTTATCCAGTACAGGATAAACACACACACACATATAAATAAAATGACAAATACTGTCTTATCTCAGTATGGAATATTCCAGATTCATACTCGCATTTTCTCTAACTTTTCAGGAGTTGATGGACTTTCCTCATTGAGTGAATCCAGTCTTATTTGAGCATCTTTTTTGAATCACTGCACAGAATTAGGTGGAGACCACCCTAATACTCTTTTCACTAATCATTTTGCTAATCAAGATAATAAAATCACAACTAGTTTGATGCTTATAAAAACAAAAATAAATAAATAAAATAAGATTGACATGCCTGGCTATCAAAACTT